CATATCAGATATGAAGAGTAGTATGACACCCAGATGACTTCCGCCGGAGCAGATCACCCAACTTCATTACACCAAGTCTAACTAAAAGAGTGACTTCATTTTACCAGTTCCTTGCACTGAAGTAAAAGAGTGCTTCTCGTGGAGAGGAAAAATAAATGCGAACAATTGTGTCTAAAACTTACGCTGTCGTAAAGTAGAAAATCCAATTATTTATACAAACAATGCGAGCAATCATAGAGTTTTTTATTTTGATTCCATCAAACTGATAAGTCAAGCATATTTCGGGATTGAGTTTCAACTCCAAACTATGCTAAAGCATAAATCATCCATCAGAAACTGTTTACATAAAGTGATTGGGCGTAGTCAACCCTGTTTCTATGCGGTGGTATGTTGCCACACCATTTTAACACGTGGTTCAAGAGGAGGAAGAAAATAAATGCCTTAACAAAGCGAATGCTGAAAAGCTGGGTATTTATCTCTCAAAGAAACAACCAGAAGAGTTGCAACGGGGTCTGGTTAAAGATGCTTTTAGATTGTCTGTTTTGACGCAAGTGGTTGGAAAGCAGTACAGCGTAGCCAGCCAGTCGCCTAGACCAAATTCATTTCTTATATATGTTTCTGCGATCTCAATGCTGAAAAGCCAAAGTAATTTTAGTAATGATGGGATTTACCACTGAAGTGGTGAAACCCTTTACCGTTATGTGAACCTCATAAACAATGCCAAAAAATGGTCATCGAATTTCGTTGGTGGCAGGCAACTTAGCATTAATAGCGGTGCACGTACCTACGCATGCCGCAGACTTCCCGGACCAAGTTCCATCAGCCTGACACACTCGACTGCAACCTAAGTTAACATTGGAGGCTTTTAGTTGCAGTAGTCACTTCATTTTAAATTGTCATAGCTGTACAGACTAAATAGGTGTGTGCGTGTGTGTGTGTTCAATAGAGAGCATAAAGGCATTTGTCACTCCCACATATAGTGAAAATGTTTTAATATACTCTAAGGTAGGAAAAAAGTACAGAATAAAGGAAGAATTGTTAACGTTGTGAGGAAGCGAAATGAAGGAAATGTGTAACAAAGTCAACCATTCTAATCTAGTGAAGTCGAGCACCTCATAGGACTAAACCACAGACAACAACCTACTCTTAGATGAAGTGGGTTCAGTGTTAACGTTATCGTCAGGGCAATGGATTGTGTAACCGTCGTTGCAGAATTGCACTGCTGTCCCCTGGTAGCGCATATCTGAAGTGTACAGAGTTCGTCCGTTCTCTGGCCCCTCTATTTCCGGACAGGATATTCCTCAAATACATAACAACTTGTGTTATTAAAACTTAGTTTAATGCAGCCGCAAAGCCTGATTATAATAAACTAGAAATAAATAGCTTCAAATGAAACGTTACCAAGTTTTGTAGAGCTTTTTAACATAGCATGAATGAAGGGATGAAAATTCGGCGTCTTACCAAAACCAGAATGTTTTTTTCGTTGGAGGATAGTTTAGTGAAGAAGTGTAAAAAAATAACCTTATAAAATACCATAAACCTACTGTTACAATCCAACTTTTCGTACTTCCATTGATTGCCAACGCACACGACAGTGGAGTATTTGCGTTTGGAGTCCACGAAACCCGGTCGACAGGTCATCGTGATTGATTCGCCGCTTCGATAGTCAGTCCTATCCTTTGAAACTTTGTCCTCCAGCCAGTGCCCCTCTACGACCATTGCGTTTGGCATGTATGGCGGAGAAAAGCAGTCTAAAGCAAAAATTAATATAAAGGGGTGCTTTTGAGGCACTTTGATGCATATTTTGAGTGTTATGTG